ATATATCTGAACCTGCCTTTCACAGGTTCTTATGGATAAGACAATGAAATTGACCAGTTAGATGGTTTATCTCTTTGCAATTTCATTAAATAATCTTATCTGATAATCAAGCAAGAGGACTTTCTTCCCAGGACAACTCCATTACTCATTGGTGGCATCAAATTATTCAATGGCTCAGGGAAAAATGTAGTATAAATTCACAACTTGAATGACACAAAGGATGATGTTAGTGAATCTACATTAGGACATATCATTCAAAGAAAATTGTACATGTCAAATTGAATCAAATAGGATAAACTTCTGCAATGGTAACTCTAAAATCCTGGGCTTGAGTCAAAGAAATAAGCTTCCCTAGGACAGATGGATTAGCAACAGTTATGAAAATTAGTGAATATTTATTCAATTATAAGATCAGTTTGACTCAACACTAGGATGGAACAACTATAGCTAGCAATGAGACTATGACCTACATTTAGTGAAAGTATAAGCAGATGGATTCTCTAAATAGTAGAATGAGGCTGTTGTGAGAACCACCCATTCTGCTGATCAGTCCTTGGTGGAATATTATATTTGCTTCAAGGAACACCCTTTTAATGAGGTTTAGATGTGCACACATGAGTGTGAAGAATATAACCAAGTGCCTTTGGCCTATCATAATAATTATACCTGTCAATTTTCTGCTTTTTGTGTATTTTGAAAATACATCAGAGTGAACTAATTTATTTTATTGATGTTCCATGAAACAGCATAAGGAGGTGAATAAACACATTTTTTCTGCAACTACCAGGTTTCAAATCTCTTATCTACAAATGGGAAATTTAATTGATTAATCTTAAAATCTCATTTCTTGCAACTCAAACAACTCAAGCATGTCCAAGGCACAGTTCTTGTTGAATAATACAGGTCTGGACAGATCATGATGTAATTTCTAAAACCCATGGGTTAATATAAAACATTCAAAATCTTTAAAAAAACATTACAGGGGAAAAAGTGAATGTTACCTAAAAGGAACAAGACTTAATGCTAAAGAGCATTTTAATTACAACACTGGAAGCTTCATAAATGTGAGGAAGTATTTGTCAATGATAAGAGAAATGAACTGTAGACCAAGAAAATATACTTAGAAGAAATCATTTTCTCACCTTTGGTAAAAAAGACATTTAGGTTGAGCAAGAATTCAAAATATATATTCCAAAATTCAAATAATATATCCATAATAACACTGAAAATAAATAGTCTCAACTCACTCATTAAATTATATAGACTAGATGAATGGATCCAAAAACAAGATCCAACCAAATTCTGTTTGCAAGAGACTCATTTCATAGGTAAAGACACTTGCAGACTGAAGGCAGAAGGATTGAAAAGAATTTTCTTCATGCAAATGAACTCTGAAAACAAGCTGGAGTAGCCATTCTTCATATCTGACAAAGCAGATTTCAAGCAAGAATTAATCAGAAGAGAAAAAGAGAGCCATTACATCCTAGTAAAGGAAACAACCCAACAAGAAGAAATAATAATAGTTAATATATATGCCCCAAATGTCAACATAATACATTAAAAAAATACTTCTTAAGGGGCTGTGGCTGTGGCTCAGCAGTAGTGCACTTGCCTGTGAGGTACTGGGTTCGATTCTCAACACCTCATATAAATAAATAAAATAAAGGTCTATCAACAACTAAAAAATAAAAAATAAAAAAAAAATACTTCCTGACATTAAATCCCAGATAGATCCCAATACAGTAATACTGGAAGATTTCAAATCATCTTTATCACTAATAGACAGGTCATCAAAACATAAAATAAATAACGATGTATCCAATCTGAATGTATTCAAACTCAATTTATCTTTTTCTCAGCAATTAATGGAACCTTCTCCAAAACAGACCATGTTCCATGTAAAAATGTAAGTCTAAGAAAATACAAAAAGAAAATTGATATAATCCAATGCATCCTATTAGAACATACTGAAATGAAACTAGAAATCAAAAGCAAGAAAAATAACAAAAACCACATAAATATGTGGCATTTAAACAATATCCTTTTAAGAAGGATGGATCAAAGAATAATTGATGGAAGGAGTAAAAAAATATTTAGAAACAAATGAAACCAAAGATATATTAAATCTCTGAGATAGTATGAGAGCAGTACTAAGACTAAAATTTATTTCATTGAGTATCTACATTAAAAATATAGAGAGAGACCAAATAAATAAGCTTATGTTACACTTCAAGGCCTTAATTACAAAATCAGTAGAAGGTCGGAAATAATAAAGATCAGAGCCAAAATTAGAAGAAAACATAAGATCAACATTCCATCATATCCGTGCAGGCACTGACTTTCTGAATGAGACCCCTAAAGCTCACAAAATAAAACTAAGAATCAGTAAGCAGGATGCCATTAAATTATAAAAAGATCCTGCTCAGCAAAGAAAATGATAAAGAGAGTTGAAGAGAGAGCCTCTGGAATGGGAGAAAATATTTGTCAGTTACTCCTCTGACAAGAGACTAATATCTAGAATATATAAAGAACTACAAAAACAAAAAACAAACAAACAAAAAACTCAATGCCAAAAGCAAACAAACTCAAACAAGCAAACAAATAGAAATAGGCCAATCAATAAATGGCCAAAAGAACTAAGCAGAAACTTCTCAAAAGAAGAAACCCATCATGCTAAGTGAAATAAGCCAATCCCCGCAAACAGGGGCTGAATGTGTTCTCTGATAAGTGCATGCTAATCCATAATGGGGTGGCAGATGGGAATAGTGGAGGAACTTTGAAATGGGCCAAGGGAAGGGGGGGAGGGGATATGGGGGTAGAAAAGATGGTGGAATTAGTCACACATTATTACCCTAGATACTTATATGAATGGTATGACTGTACGTCATGTACAATCAGAGAAGTGAAAAGTTCTGCTCCGTTTATGTACAAGGAATCAAAAAGCTTTCTGCTGTCATGTATAACTGATTACAACTAATAAAAATGAATAACAAAAAAGAAACACAAATGGTCAACAAATATATGGAAAAATGTTCAGCATCTCTAGCAATTAGAGAAATGCAAATCAAAACTACACCAAGAGATATGGACTGTAGACCAAGAAAGTACACTTGAAAGGAATCAATAATTATCAATATCATGAATAATAATAAATGCTGGTAAGGATTTTGAGGAAAAGGTGCAGTTCTGCATTGTTGATGGGACTGCAAATTAGAAAAATCACTCTGGAAACCATGGGGAGATTCCTCAAAAAAAACAAACAAACTAGGATTTAAACTGCCATATGATCCAGCTATCCCACTCTCAATGTTTTTCCAAAAGGCCTAAAAATCAGCATCCTATTGTGATACAGCCACTTCAGTATTTACAGCAGCATAATTCCCAAATTATGGATTCTACCCAGAAGCCCATCAATAGAGATTAGAAATGAATTAGGAAAATGTGGTACATACATACAAAAGAGTTAACTCAGCCATAAGAGTGAAATAATGACATTTGCTAATGAATGGATGGAAATGGAG